TTTTTTTAACATAGTCTCGCAACGCTTTTGGTCATTTAACACATATAAATATTTAATTTTACACCTATCATTCCGACAACCCAAACATTTTTTTTTTCTTCAAGAAAAAAAAAATATATATATATAATGGCAACCCAGGACTCCTTCGGATTCCCCGAAGGCCCAAGAAGGAGACAATACATATGTACGGTTGAAGTATTTACTTGGTTAGTTAGTTAGTTTGTATACTAGCCAAGGTACCTTAACCGTACACAAATATATTTTTTAATAGCAATAATTCATTAATGCTTAAAATATTGTTTTTGGGAAGAAGAAAACACCAACATAGATATTGGGTTGGATCACTTAAATAGAAAATACAACACGACCGTTTCCACTAAACAGACTTGAGTTTCAAAACACGTCGAAACCTTTTGATGTGACCGCTTTCGAGCGGGACCCGAAAAACAAAACTCCAACTATCGCAAAACACGCCAGTCTTCAAAAATTTTGCAAAAAATTACAGTTCTGTTTTATTCGACACAAGTTTGTGTTTTGTTTTTGTTTTGTCCGTTTAGTGGAAAACCGCCTTTTTAATTTAAGTCGTTATAATCTACTAGTAATACTAAAAGAAGGTTAGGTTACATTGTCAAACAATTTGTGCAGGCAAATATTAAGCATCGTCCATCGACCCATCACTGTTAAAAAGTGAAAGATTCCAGATAAAAGTTTTTATTTTGTAATTCCACGAGTGACAGTGTAATTTTTATAAAGAAGTAAAAACATAAGAATAGCATGCCGACTACATTAAAAGCGAGATTCTTATTTCTTACTTTGCTTAATTTTTTAGATTGTGCACGAACTAGTTTTACAATGAACCGAGAAAACAATGCATTTACTATTTCCGAACGTGTCGATATGGTGTTGGTGTATGGTGCAGCCGGAGAAAATGCGCTCGCGGCGACTAGGTTGTACCGGGAACGATATTGGACTATATTTATTTTGCAATGAACATATTTAACGAATAAAACGTGATCGATATAAAATACTCTGTTGAGTTATATAAAAAGTTAAATTTTTCTGTTATTAGCAGATGGTTTTCAATTTAGAATTTACAATAGAAAAGCATGCCGAATTTTATACCAGGAGGCGAAAAATAAAAATCTGAAACACAATTCAATGTTAAAGAACAAATACATTTTTTTCTGCCGGGTTACGTTTTTCGGATAATACAAAAAGTAAAGCTAAATTGCAGAACTGTATTACAAAGAAGGCATAATCTGTTTGATTTTGTTTATACAAAAAGAGAGTTTTTAATGAGAAAAAAATTAAAGAAATAATACTTGGTATAAAAGCATGAACCACGACCTTACTTTTACGGAATTATATATTTTTTAAATTTAGCAAATTCACTCTCAAATTTAGATTAGACAAATATTTATGAATATTTTTTTTTACAAGAAAATACTTCAAGTAATTTAAGCTCCAAGATGTATTTTTGTTACAACCAACTTGTTTTCCTGTAAGCCAAGAGACAGATGTTTTTTTTATAAGATAGTGACAGTAACATGGACAAAACTAGACAACACATTTGTTAAAAATGTCAAAATGTATTTAAGTAATTTAACAAATTTAACAGTACATTACACATCACGCCTTGAAAATTCCTAAGAAACAAGCTAATGTATTATTAATAATACTTATTTTAGTTTGGTTTCAGCTTTAAAAGACTCTCTTCTTTCATCGGTGTTGATCCAGGATACGCGATCTAAAAAAAAAGAAGATAAATGCTTATTAACATAAATTTTCTATTAAAATATATTTCTATGCGTGTTTAAATGAAAGAGCACAAATGCTCCAAGATACATAATCTTGAGGATAGAGTATATGAATTCAGATTATTTTTTTGTAACTGCTAAACCATATGTCTTCAAATTTGACATAGTCAAGGTATATAAAATTCAGTTCAACTCCAGTGACATGCTATTATGATGACTGGAATCTCTTCTAAAATATTCTCTGCTCCATTAGCCAAAATTATCATGGTTTTGTTGAATTATTCACTCAATTAATTAAAATTAATAAAAAGTACTCTAGAAAACCCTTTTGCTGTAAATTGATATTACCTAAAACCTTGTCTTATGTATTGTGTAGTAAATGTAAATCAGAGAATTCAATTGTGACACAGTTTTGTAATTAACAAATGAAGCAAGCACATATGAATTATAAACAGTTTTGAAAATATGTATATCCTTTCTTCTTACATGTAAATTTGGTGGTTGTTGGATGGCGCTCCTTATTTGAATACACCCTGTATTATGACTACAGGAACTTAATTAGTGAAAAATGTGTCAAGTAAAAAGTCAGTGGAAGTTTATTTTCATATAAGTAGGTTCCAAATTTGCAGATATTTTTAAAAATTTAATGTTCAAAAGGACAATTTAATAAATTTGACAATCAGCCCTATGCTGTATGAACATTATATATGAACATGACCAATATAATTCTAAAACCTACTTTTTTATTTTATGTGAGCTAATAATTTACATACATACTTTATAAATCACCTATTATATGGAAAACGTGTTTAGCTATATAAATCAAAAAAGCAATTATCTACTAAAATGATTATAAAATAATCGCATGCTGAAATTAATATAATCAGTTTTCACAGCTGACATTTTCAACCAGATGCATTTTATTGTTTAGTAATTATAGGCATAATAAACTAATTTAAAAGTATATTGGCAATATTTTATGGTAGGTAACACTAATGTCACTACAACGGATATTAAACAACGACATATACAGCGTGTCCGGAAAGGTCATGTTAAAAATGAAGGGGTATAGAGGGAAGGTCAAAATATATGTATTATAGTACTTTATAAACATTTCCTATCGGGCTTCGTTGTGGAGTTATTCGCCTTTAAAGAAAGAAGTTTGAAAAACAAATTTCAATTATAACTTTCTAAGTCGTTACCATGAAAACAATGAAATTTGGGCAATTAAAGTAACTCATGGTAATGTTCATTTTCAAGTTTAAACTGATATCAATATGCTAGGATTATACAGGAGCTAACAAAATTATTCATTTAAATTTATACATCTTTGACAGCGTTGCCAAATTTGACATTTTTCTTCCATAGTCCGATTCCTCTTTCATTTTGTCAAAAAAAAGATATACCGTATATCAGTCGATATCTTGTACCGTTTTTGAAAAAATCGAATTTTATTAACAGCATCGAACTTGTATTTTCTGAAATTGCTCAATCCGTTTTGCTGTACTCGAAATAACATGTGTTTCTGCGTATGTAATTATGCGATTTAATAATTGTTCCCTAGTATTTATAGGAGATTAAAAAACAAGACTATTAAGATGGCCTCAAAGAAAAAATCGAGAGCATTAAGATCCGGAGACCCAGGCAGCCACGGAAAAGGACTACCTCGACTGATCCATTGATCGGGAAATGTGGTATTTAAATAAGCCCTTACTGCCCTGCTAAAATGGGGTGGGCATAAGCCATATACTATTTCAAATATTTAAAGGGACGTCTTCCAATAACGGGTTAAGGTGTTCTTGAAGTAAATATAGGAAATTATCCCCATTTAAAATGTCATCAATGATATGTGGTCCCACTAAGTACTTTCCAATTATTCCCAACCATACATTAATGATAAATTTTTGTTGGTGTTTTGTCTGAATAATAGCATGGGGGTTTTCGTCATTTCAAATATGCAAATTCTATTTGGAAAGCGGTTGGCATAAATTCTAAACAGCTTCAGAAGCATTACATTCTGCAAGTTCGTATATTAGATGAATATCTGAAAATTCTTCAAAGTTAAAATCTTCCATGATATTGAACGAACAGATGGTGCCAAAATGATTTATGACAAATATCTAACTGCTAATTATACATACTTGTTGACAGTCTTCTCAATTTCCAAATAAACCAAGATTTTTGCAAAAATGTTATCGCATTTATGATGTATGACATGTACGTTGTTAATAAAATTCGGTTTTCTCAAAAACGGTATAAGATATCGACTGGTATACCTTTTTTTAAGCAAAGTGACAGAGGAATCGAACTATGAATGAAAAATGCCAAATTTGGAAACGCTGTCAAAGATATGTAAATTTAAGTGGACTATTTCGTCTGCTCCTGTATAATCCAGGAAATCAGTGAATATCAGTTTAAATTTGGAAATGAATATTACCATGAGTTAATTGCCCAAATTTCATTGTTGTCATGATAATGACTTAGAAGTTATAATTGGAAGTTGTTTTTTAAACTTCCATCTTTGAAAGTGAATAACTCCACAACGAAACCAGATAAGAATTTTTTTTATGAAGTACTACAACTATTTTGACCTCCTGTATAATCCTTCATCTTTGACATGACCTTTCCGGACACCCTGTATTAAAATAATAAAGGCTGATAAGTTGTTTCAAATAATTGTAAATTAATTGACGTTTTTACCTGTCCAGTCAAATATTCCGTCCTCGGCATACCCTTTCTTGACGTACAAGTCCTTAAACAGTTTCCTGAGATATTCATAATCGGGCGTTTCAGTGAAATCTAGCTTACGAACATATTTTAAATAGGTCGCCAATTCTTCAGGATGACCCTCGCACAACGCTTCGATGGGAGTCGTTCTCTTGGTTTCACCTATCTTCTGGTACCGTTCCTAAAATGAATTTAATGTCAAAGAAGAGATGAAAAGCAAAGTACTTTCGGGTGTGGGTGAGATATAACCTACAAAGTATGTACATTTTAATTTTACTGCTATTCAATTCTACTGGCATAATGTCGAGGGCGAATACGCTCAAGACAGGTCCATGTCTGATGATTCTACAGACGAATAGCCCTAACCTTTTGGTTTAAAACCACTCAAAGAATCATCCCATAAAATGTATCAACATACTTGGTCAGCACCCTGTAAAGTAGTTCTAAAATAATTTTTAAAATAAAAAACTACCCAGTTAGTCAATGAATCAACCAGTCAAAGCAATAGATCAGTTAAGTGGTCACGGAACTAATTCTTTTGACTATGGTCATGATGAAAAGAGAAGAATGACTACAGAAGTTGAAGATAGAATTATAGTGAGAAAATTCTTAAGGGAAAAACTCATAAGTATCGTTATGATTCGATGAGAATTTCTTTTGAACATATACACACAAGTATCGTCAGTAATATTTAACAAGGCAGGTCTCAGGTAGACATCAAAAATAGACGAGAGAACATCTCAAATTCGGTTTGGATCATCAAAATTGTTAAATTCTGAGATCACTGTTCACCTACAAACAAATGAAGATGTTTTTTGTACTCCTACAGCAACAGAATTCGAGAATGACGAAGGCGGCGATGCACGTGGAGAAAAATATAAAGACGAAGAATGGCAAAACATGTTCATTCTGGTTCTGTTATTGTTTGGAGTGGTATTAAGATGAATTATTTTCGAATACAACTCGTTATTTTGGGAGGAATGCCGACGAGTAAAACATTTGATGTTTTCAGCCCGTTTTGAGAGATATTTAGATTCAGTTACTAGTTGTCCTGAGAATGTTGCAATACATACACATATTGACGAAACGTCGACAAATAAAAATAAGTGTTTTCTTTTGAATTATTCGCTACCACTGATTACTAATAAAAAATGTCACTTGCCATACATGACTGTGAGCAAAAAAACTGGCAAGCTGCGTATAAGTTATAAAATTAAAAAAACTCATATATACAGGATGATTAAAAAGCCCCTGACCTAACGTGAAATTCTACAAAATTTTCTTTTCTTTCTCACCCTGTATAAGAACTATCTATCATATTGATACAGACAGTTGTAACTGATGGATATTGATGGAACTTCCCTACAACCTGACGCAGGTTGTAATGAAATCGGTTAATTTTTAAACATTTTACTGCAATTCCAAATGGACTTTTTTTTAATATCCCGCCTCAAATTTTGCGTAGTAAAGGGTTTTTCAATAAGGGCGGGTCGATGTTGATATGGAATAAAACAAGTTGTGTGTGAGATATCAACGAAATTATTTTTTTATTTGAAAGGTCTATGTATGCCATTATGTATGGAATATGACATCGTTCAAATGTCCGCCGCAGCTCCCCATGGTAGCACGGATCCAAGTGGTTTAATTTTAAATGACTGCCGCATAGATCCGGCTGAATTTGACCTATGGCCTGAGTTATGTTGATTTTGTGGGCATCGGTCGATTGTGGCTTATTGGCGTAGACCTGGTACTTCAGAAAACTCCACAAGAAAGAATCAAGCATGGTCAAATCGCACGATCTTGGTGGCCAATTCACGTTACCTCTGCGAAAGATAACCATACCCTCAAATCGTTCATGCAGAATACCCATTGAAACAGTCGCTGTGAGGCACGTAGCGCCGTCCTGTTGGAACCACATGTCGTCCACGTCCATATCGTTCAATTTGGGCCCAAAGAAATTGGTGATCATTGATCTGTAGCGCTCGCTGTTGACGGTGATGGCCTCATCAACGTCGTTTTCGAAGAAGAACGGACCATTGATGCCGCCGGCCCAAAATCCGCACCAAACAGTAACTTTTTGTGGATGCATTGCCACCTGGTGAACCTCGTGTGGGTTGGCGTCGTCCCATGTACGGCAAATTTGCTTGTTAACATAGCCAAAGTGCGTCTTGTCGCTAAAGATGATTTTTCGGACAAAATTGGAGTCCTCTTCCAAACGTTCCGAAGCCCAGTCAGCGAACAAACGGCGTTGTCTATGGTCATTAACTTGTAACTCCTGGGTCAGTTGGATCTTGTACAAGTGCAGGCCCAAAGTCCCGACGCAAAATTCGCCAAGTTGAAGTCCGCGAAAGTCCGAGTTCTTGTGCACGGTGAGGAATAGACTGCATCGGGTTCTTCTGCACACTTTCACGGACAGCGGCGATGTTCTCGGCCGATCTGGCGTTCCTTTGACGTACGGGTGTTGATTGATTGTTTACCGAACCGGACGTCTCGAATTTGGCCACCAAACGTTGAAGAGTTAACTTTGAAAGGCCACCGCGTTTCTCGTAAAATGGGCGCAACGCGTGCAACGTTTGCACTAACGAACGCTCATTTTGATAATAAAATTTTATCATTTGGACGTGCTGTTGAATATTGTAACTTGACATGATGATTTGGCATCAGTGACTGAATAATAAGCAACATATTTGACAGATGCCGAAAAAAAAACATAGCCGCCATAGACTGTCAACATCGACCCGCCCTAATTGGAAAACCCTTTATATTTTCCATGTTATTGCTAAATATCATTTTAATTGTTTTTAAAATGATATCAACACACATTTCGAACAACCGGCGGTATATTAATAAAAAAGAAAGGCATATAAATCTTTGTTTTTGTCTAACGAAGATGGAAAAATAATAAATTTACTTGTTCTTAATTGATCTTCTGTTACAGTTGTTAAATACACCTTGTAGGATCCTACAGAACAAGCTAGGGAAAGATATTAATAAAGAAATTCTCTTGCTGCTTCATAAATATCAATTAAAAATTTTGAGGGGGATTACTCCTTTATCCAGGTCAGAAGTTAAATGCCCTGATATTCACGTTAATAAACAACAACGCTGAATTCATTTTATATCGCTCGCAATGAATTTATATTAACTTTAATAAAATACCCGCAAAAACGATAAAATTCCTCCCTCGCCTTCGCCCATATATTTGCTAATTGTAACAAAAATACAATGGAAATACATATTCGTATTCGACCTTTAAGCACCCTTTCTGACATAAAATATTGACAATCAAAATTGTAGCCTCGCTACACTCATAAATTTTGTGCATAGAAAATTATTACCCTAAATAGATAAGTTTTAAAGTCGGCCGTTCCAATTTTCATTCTTTAAATAAAGAGCACGGCTTTGATGTACCCTCTATGAAATTGCTTTTGATAACAAAGGCTTCCAGTGTCTATCATATAATCTACAAGTAATCTTAAGTCATACATTTACCTTCAAAGTATCTGCTTTGAGACCCTGCCAAGGCAGAGAACCCCTCAGGAAATACATGAACATATGCCCCATCGCTTCAAGGTCGTCTCGACGAGACTGTTCACGTCCAAGATGGGTGTTGATGCTCATGTACCGGGCGGTACCAGTCAGAGACTTGTGTTCTCTAGAAAAAAAAATGTAATAAGTAGAAACGTTGTTTACATACGGGTGTCACAAAAAGGCACGATTCTTGAGTGCTATCAAGAAAGTTTCAGATAAAAGCTGTAGGATATTAAGAATCCAATATGCTAGTGACCTTGGGCTTGACCTTGGTTTTAAGTTTCAAGGTCAAATCTAGTCAACTTCAAAATATTACATGGACCACCCAATTTTTTATAACAAATTAGTATAGTGCCAAATTTTACGCCCGAAAATGTTCTCCTTACATGTCATTTGGAGGTCAAACAGATTTGAACTTGAAAAAAATAGATGGTGACCTTGGATATAACCTAACAGCTGATCAGATATCTGTCTCAAGAATAACACTAATATCAAATTGTAATTATTTATATATTTTAACAGTTTTTGAATACGTCTATTAAATTCTCTTACCTTCATATCCATTACTTTTTGTGAAAATTGAGTTTGACCTTCAAATCACCTGCAAGGACATAATGGAAAATATCTTTGGTCCCAGATTCCGACATAAAATTTAGTGCTTTATAGATGGCTGGCATAAAAAAATAATCTATTCCATTTGATATTAAGTTGCCCTTAGTTTGCCCTTGTAACTTACGATGAAGGTCAAATCCTAGCTCGCCATCTATTTTGTCATTTAAAATACACAAATTTGTACACTACTGCTAAAAATTTGAAAATTTGGAACATGGCAATGTCCCTAGCGAACACAACTAAAATATCTAGAACTCTCTAGTACTTCCGGTTATACCAACGTCGTTATTTTAAATGGGACACCCTATATATTTTTGGATTTTCCGATTCTACGTAAAATTTGGGGGTCACTTTATTAAATATTCCCTATACCTAGGAGTTATAGATTTTGAGATATTAATTTTTTAAGAAAAAAATTTGACAGATGCAAGTCTCTGTGGAAATGCTAGAAGCGGCTATCAAGTGGATTTTTGGGTACCTGTAAAGGGCATAGATAACACAACATTATGGTATACCAACAAATTAAAACATTTAATACTAGATGTTTCATTTTTGCTGTTACATTTTGATAATTCAAACAGCTATAACTTTGTTAACTTAAATGAAACATCCTATATTTTACTCTGTCATATGTAGATTGAAATTTCCTTTCTAACCATATAAGCATTGTTGGGGTTGCCGTTACTACTTTAAGATATATTTGCAATTTTCTATTTTTTGGATAGGTTGTTCTCGTATCCAGACCTGCTATCAAATTGGCCATGACCAGTAACACTCCAAAAACAATTGAAATAACATGACATTTGTCAAGTTAGTTGTCAAATTATTGTTGTGCCTGAATAGTTTTTGCCGAAAATTTAAATAAAAATGCCTGGGCATTGTTTAAAGGATACTAATGAGGATTATTTTAATTTGTTTGTTATTTATGGAAAATGTGACAAAGTAATTTCAAGAACATGTAAAGAATCTGCTGTTTTTTTCCATAAATAACAAACAAATTAAAGTAATCCTCAAGTATAATTTAAACGACAAATGTCAAGTTATTTTAATTGTTTTGGAGTGTCGCTGGTCATGGCCAATTTGGCAACAGGTCTGATACGAGAAAAAGTGTCAAAAAATAGAAAATTGCAAATATCCCTAAAAATAGTAAGGGCAACTCTAACAGTGCTTATATGGCATGAAAGGCAATTTCAATCTGCATACGATATAGTAAAAAAATACGATTTTTTATGAAGTTTNTTGCCCTTGGTTTTAAGTTTCAAGGTCAAATCTAGTCAACTTGAAAATAGTACATGGACCACCCGATTTTTTATAACTTGTAAGTCCTTACATGTCATTTGTAGGTCAAACAGATTTGAACTTGAAAAAAATAGATGGTGACCTTGGATTTAACCTAACAGCTGATTAGATATCTGTCTCCAGAATAACACTATTATCAAATTGTAATTATTTACATATTTTAACAGTTTTGAATACGTCTATTAAATTCTCTAACCTTCGTATCCATTATTTTTTGTGAAAAATGAGTTTGACTTTCAAATCACCTGCAAGGACATAATGGAAAATATCTTTGGTACCAGATTCCGACATAAAATTTAGGGCTTTATAGATGGCTGGCATAAAAAAATAATCTATTCCATTTGATTTTAAGTTACCCCTAGTTTGCCCTTGTAACTTACGATGAAGGTCAAATCCAACTCTCTAGTACTTCCGGTTACACCAACTTCGTTATTTTAAATGGGACACCTAATATATTTTTGGATTTTCCGATTCTACGTGAAATTTGGGGGTCACTTTATTAAATATTCCCTATACCTAGGAGTTATAGATTTTGAGATATTAATTTTTTAAGAAAAAAATTTGACAGATGCAAGTCTCTGTGGAAATGCTAGAAGCGGCTATCAAGTGGATTTTTGGGTACCTGTAAAGGGCATAGATAACACAACATTATGGTATACCAACAAATTAAAACATTTAATACTAGATGTTTCATTTTTGCTGTTACATTTTGATAATTCAAACAGCTATAACTTTGTTAACTTAAATGAAACATCCTATATTTTACTCTGTCATATGTAGATTGAAATTTCCTTTCTAACCATATAAGCATTGTTGGGGTTGCCGTTACTACTTTAAGATATATTTGCAATTTTCTATTTTTTGGATAGGTTGTTCTCGTATCCAGACCTGCTATCAAATTGGCCATGACCAGTAACACTCCAAAAACAATTGAAATAACATGACATTTGTCAAGTTAGTTGTCAAATTATTGTTGTGCCTGAATAGTTTTTGCCGAAAATTTAAATAAAAATGCCTGGGCATTGTTTAACGGATACTAATGAGGATTATTTTAATTTGTTTGTTATTTATGGAAAATGTGACAAAGTAATTTCAAGAACATGTAAAGAATCTGCTGTTTTTTTCCATAAATAACAAACAAATTAAAGTAATCCTCAAGTATAATTTAAACGACAAATGTCAAGTTATTTTAATTGTTTTGGAGTGTCGCTGGTCAATGCCAATTTGGCAACAGGTCTGATACGAGAAAAAGTGTCAAAAAATAGAAAATTGCAAATATCCCTAAAAATAGTAAGGGCAACTCTAACAGTGCTTATATGGCATGAAAGGCAATTTCAATCTGCATACGATATAGTAAAAAAATACGATTTTTTATGAAGTTTTCGAAATTGATAGTAGAAAAACAAATGAAGTTCAAACAAAATGGCCGCGGATGTTAACTTCGTTAATTTAAATGGAACACTCTGTATATTTTTACATATTTGGATAGAACGTTCCCTGCCGAGCACAGTCATATATGGTTTGTTGGGTCAATCTCTAACAATAAGCGAGGTAATTTTAAAAAACGAAAAGAAGGTTTTTTATTAAGAAAATAAGATATTTTTTAATTGTCGGACGTCTTTCAGGCATTTCTGCGTTTTTTGCAATTACGTAAGGATTTAGATTTATTTGTAATATATTTTGACATATCGAACATTGATATAGAAAATTTAAATATTATAGGAATTAAGATAGAGTAGTTAAGATATTCTCCATACTTTATTTTAATTCCTAATAATATTTCAATTTTATATTTCTGTGTAACCCATTTTAATTAAATAATAATACGAACTGTCAAACAATAACAATGTTATCATGACATTACTACCTATCACTGTCACGACCTACCATATAACATTATCCATGATCCATGAGTAATTGGCTTCACACTGTCTAATTAGTGAGATTTAGTGAAAATACCAACACGCAGTTTGGATTATATCAATGCTCGCTATGTCAAAATATATTACAACTAAATCTAAATCCTTACGTAATTGGAAAAAAGGCAGAAATGCCTGAAAGAGGTCTAACAATTACAAGACGTGTCTTATTTTCTTAATAAAAAAACATCTTTTCGTTTTTTAATATTATCTCGTTTATTGTTAGAGATGGACCCAACAAACCCTATATGATTATGTTCGACAAGGATCGTTCTATCCAAATATGTAAAAATATACAGGGTATTCCATTTAAATTAACAAAGTTAACATCCGCGGCTATTTTGATTGAACTTAATTTGTTTTTCTATTACCATTTTCGAAAACTTCATAAAAAATCGTGCAACTTTTGTATTCCACATTTTTTTATAACTCTTAAGACAAAAAAGTTAAAGGGGGTCAAAATATAGTGAATCACCCTGTACATATGATTTTCTACTATTTTTCGCCCATTGTTAATGCAAAATTTAACTTTTTTGATTCGTAGTTGTTGCAACTTTATAGAAAATCGTCAAATGAACAAAAAATAAAGAATGACTTTTTTTATTTAGGACTTACTTTCAATGTTACAGGGATAAACATGTCGAAAAACGGGAAATTTTTCGTTCTTTTTGTATGTTTGTTGTTCCCCTGAATTTAGCAATGGTTTTTTGGAATAGGCAAACTTGGATTCTTATTCTACATAATATCTGGGATTTTTCTGTGCAACAAAATAGATGACCGCCTGGATTAATTATCACTTATGACTTGGTTTCTCTGTCTCTTATTTCTTTGTTTTTCATTCCATTTCTTATTTTTCATCGTAAATATTACAAATGTTTCTTCCAATTAATTACTGTTTAATACGATGGATAACACCCCTTAAAAATTGAACCATGCAAACAATTTGGCTTATTTGGTTTGCCAAGAACCGACTAGCTGTAGCACAATAATGTCAATTTTTTTACACCTTTTACGATAAAGGCACAAAAATAATATTTTTTAGATAGCTTGAATCTTAAACTAAAAAAAGCACCCTTGGTTGATAACGATAAAATGAACTGTCTTTTCTAGAAAAAAACAATTTTTGTTTAACCGACGAAATTTGCATTATTTCTGTTCTTATCTAAAAATGTGCCACTTTTATTTACATTTATTTTTTCATAAAAATAATTAAGTTACACAAAGTATTTTAAAAGTTATTAAAAAAAATTGATTTTCAGGGGCGCCGTTTAGGGGCCTGTATCTGTGTCTCTAT